TCGCGGATATTCAGCTCCGTATATGCGGTTGCATAGCACCGTTAAGTAAGGCGCCAACACAAACACGGGCCGCTGCCCTTCACTCTCCCTGATAGCGTACCTATAATACCTATAATACTCGGCCGGGGTTCCCTCCAGGCCCGCGGACAGGCTATGTTGCGCATAGCCTTTAGACCGCTAACAATTTCGCCCTCCGTTTAATCCTTGTTAAGCCAAGCAACTAATTCCTGTCGGTGCATCACCCGGTCCTCATCCTGCCATTTAAACTGGATACCCTCGTTGCAGCCTTGCCTCGCGTTTCCCGCACCATTAAGCACCTTGGAAAAATGCTCGGTAAAAGCATTAATATCTGAGATCCAGCAATCAGGCGGTTTTCCCCCACGCAGCCATGTCCACAAGCCGCGTGGGTTGGACAGGGTGGCCTTAATCCTCCTCCGCATATTCTCCAATTCGGTCTCCTGAATAGCGGCCTTCCTAGTAGCCTCCTTAAAGACACGGTGCTTGGCCTTCCAGGTAGCCCTATGAATGTCCGGCAGCTTGCCCGAGACGGGGTCCCTTACGGAAACTCATCATATCATTCCATGCAGCGGCAGAGTCCTCGTTCCACCAGTCACGCTTCACAAAATTCACCTTTTTACCCATGCGACGCCGAACATCTCCCTAGCATACGTCCCGATTAGGGTGCGCAAGTCATTCATGCTTTCATCACAAGAGGCCCCTTCTCCTTGAGTTATCCTGTCCTCCCCACCTTACACACACACAGACACACGCACGCACACACAAGCACCCTCTCTCTTCCCAACGTATACACCCACCTTGTCCACAGCCACCCTTCGCCCCTTCTTCCCCCTAAGAACACACACACACACACAGGTACATGAGCGTCTACTCATGTACCTGTAACACGGCTCGTTCCACAGGCTGCCGTACCCCCATGATGCGGCAGTTCAGAGCGTCGCAAACTTGGTGTTTGGAAGTTGCCATCATAGCGTAACTGCGCGAGAAAGCATACGTTTTTCAAATATGCTTTGCACCATCAACATTGCTGACACGAAGAGGGAAGGTCTTTGGCCCAAACAACAAATCTTTCCTGAGAATGAATTCACACAGCGAAAGTGCTCGAATGATCGAGGAGGGATCGTGGCCAGCTCTGCAATGTGAAATTTGAAGCCGAGAGCGTCTCGGTGCGTGCGAGCACCGTTGTTTCACGTGAAGTAAAGTTGTGTTTCAGCTATTTTCGGTATTATCTGTTGCTTCTGTTAACTGAAATTTTGTTACCCGTTTGAGAATTACTTTGGTAACTGGGTTGTAACCGTATGTTCATGTCACGGAACCAAGGGTCATTTGCATTTCACTCCCCAGACTCCAGACAGCGTTTACAAACCTATCTAACCAACACTTGGAGCTCTAAATATCTCATCGCATCTCTTCCTTTCGCTTTCATGCTTTATGCGTGCGTCCAGTTACACGCGGCCGGCGGCGTTTGTGAAGTAGTAGGCTGCTGCATGCTGAACCACCGAACAGCCAGCAGCGCTTCCAACACGTTGCCTGGCCCTCCGCTTTCCGGACACCATCACACAGAATACCATATTACCATCAACTTTGAATTGGATGGGAGCGGCGCTATGTCGTTGCGTCTCGTGCGGCGCCCAAAGCAATGCCGCTCGCCCCGATATTGCCGCCAGCACCGCAACTTTTGCCAGCAGCAAGCCAAATCAAATCCGCGATCCTCCTTAGCAACAGCAGCAGCTCAAGTCGCACCGACTGCGGACGAGTCCGAGGGGGCACAGCCCATTGGTCCTTCCAGCGCACCTCAACGTCAGTTCGGACCTTTCGGCCACCAACGCGCAGCACCTTTGCCAGCTTCCCGCCATTCGCGAAGATTCGTCATCGTCCTCAGCTGTCGCTGCCGCGACCGACTCCCTTAGCCTTAGAGCTGCAACGGCAGGCCTTAGCGCAGCAGCAGCAGCAGCAGCCGCAGCAGGAGCTATTAGTCGTAGTACGAAAGGGTCGGTCGCAGGAGGAGGAGCAACAAGAGCAGGAGCAGGCCCCAGTTCAAGCATTCCAACGCGAAGCCGTCAAGCAGAGGCAAGTACGGCCAAGGGACCTGCCGCTGGTCGTCAGATGAAGATAATGTTTCGCAACGAAAGTATTTTTTAAGGAGATACTTCACGAAATTTAGTGATTTACAAAGTCTTGTCGTGTCGAAGCCTAATGTTGTGGCGCGGTGTTGTGCGGTGTTATGCATTCCTTTGCTCGTCTTTCCCCCCTCCCTCTCCCCCTCACCCCCAGCTCCTTTCAGCATGTGGTCGGGTGCGGCCGTCTCCACCCTCTCCGCCTTCTCACAAACCGTGAGGTCGCTTCCAAGCTGCCATCCAAGTCCTCACGGCGCCGCCAGGGCCCAACACCCGCCTGCCTTGTCGGGCGGCGGCGGCGGCGGGAGCGGCGGCGGCGGCGGCGGATCTCACAGGCAGTTGCTGACGTCAATGTCGTCGATCTCGTCCACTACTACCGCCGCCCCACCTGCCGCCGCCGTCGCCACGCAGTCGCCGCCAGCGCCGCCGACAACTCCCGTACAGCCGACAGCTCCCTTGTCGGGCGGCGGCGGCGGGGGCGGCGGCGGGGGCAAACAACAGTAACAACAACAACAACAACAACAACAACAACGATAACAGCAACAACAGCATCCGCAACCACGCTGCAGCAGCGGCACTGAACGCCGGCGGCGGCGGCGTGGAGCCCAGTTACACACCGGATTCGTCCACGCCAAGATCCGGCTCCGTCGGCAATGCACAGGTCAGCTACG